GTCTTGTGGCAGACTGAGGTCCTGTCAAACTCTGTCACTCACTTGGTCCCTGTATCTGCAGCCTCCATGCCCAGCAATTCATCCAGCCTCAAAGTGAAAAAGTCACATAGTTAGCCAGGTATTATGGTACACACCTGTAATCCCGGCACTCTGAGAGCAGAGGTAGGAGGATCACCAGTTCAAACTCAACCTGGGCAACTTAAAAGCTTGGGAAGACCCTGTCTCAAAAATAAATGAAAAAGGGCTGTGGATGTGGCTCAGTGCAAAGGCCCTGGGTTCAATCTCCAGCACTATAAAATTTTTTTTTAAAAGAAACAAGGTTACACGTGTTATATAGGTCAGCCTACACATCTTTACTGAACATGTACTCTTGCACATCTTTACTGAATATGTAACCTTTTTCTTGAGCAATACAGTACGATGTAACAACTATTTACATTGTGTTAGGTATTATAAACAACCTAGGGATGATTTAAGGTGTATGTGAAGGTGTGCATAGATTATGTGCAAACACTACACCATTTTATTTAAGGCACTCGATTATCTGCAGACTTTGGTGCCCAGACTGGTGGGGATGCCCTGGAACCTGTCCCCAGATATGCCAAGGAACAGCTGCCCCTGTGCTTTTACGTATTAGACTTCAAGACAGACCTACTGGTTTACCAGTCATCTGTGAGTTTACCATCGGATTTTCTCTGGAAGAAAATGATAAGCTTCTTGATATGGAATGGGATTTGGCCTTAGAGTTAAAAGAATTGATAAGTGCAATTTTTGAGATACTTAGGTTGAAAGAAAATTTAGGGGAGTAAATCTAGTGACACTGAGCTGCTGTTTATCAGTGACTCAGCTTTTATATAATTTGTCAGGATTTGGTAGAAATTCAACCTCAGAAACTGACTTTTTCTGGCAACTATTTTATTTTACTCATACTGGTTTCTTCTTATGTAAAACTGTTACTGTTGCACATCCTGCCTTTGAATCTCATGTTAATGGTTGAACAAAAAGATCCCCTCCCTAGAATTTTTCATGACATACTGCTCATCTGCATCGGATTTATTTATGTGGAAGGGCTGGCTCTGGATGATTAGAATGTTTCCTTGGGGCCAGTGGTGAGGCCCTGGGTTTGTTCCCAGCGCTGGGAAAAAAAAAAAGGATCTTTGAATCAAAGGAGAGTTTAGAAGTACTCAGATAGAAGCCATGGGTACAGGCTTCCTTCTGCCTTGATCTCAGTATCTCAATCAAAATAAGACTGATGACTTCTGGAACCAGAGTGGTTTGTAGAGCCGGGCTGGGAGGCGATTGGAACTCTGTGGAAGTGGTTTTCAGGTTTCAGAATGCCTGCTCGTTCAGGGATGCCCTTTTGTTTTGATTTTACTTAAAATATCAAGAGAGGCATACAATCCTGCTGACCTACTCATCTCCCATTTGAAACAGGACTGGCATAGGAGGACCATGCATGGCTGCCTTTCAGAGATGATGACTTTGAAGACCAGGAAGCAAACAAAATGGAGAGTCTCTCAGATTAAGACTTGTAAAAAGAGAGATCCAATATATGACCAAAAAGAGTGGAACTTAGAATGAGCTTTTCCTTGGTTAGTTTTGTGGTGCTGGGAATGGAACCCAGGGCTGCTGTTAAATTCCTGCACCACCTCTCAATTGCCCACCCCATCCCCAGTTCCCAGGATAAGATTTGTTCTGAATTATTCTGCCCACTGGATAAAGCAGGAAGCTATTTTTTCAAGCCCATACCCCAGTCTGTTTGCCACCAAGGACTTAATAGAGCAAATGTTATGTTCAGAGCCCCCCAGCTTTGTGATCTGCAAAGTACAACAGTGTAGAAAGCAGAGCATAAGCCTTGAAGAGATTTTCAAGCCTCATTGGTACCTTTAGACATTAACAAGCATCCTTCTCACAGCTCTATTTCCCCCAAAGTCTTTCCTTTTTTGGGAAGTAAGCCCAGGGCTATGGTAGGAACCTCTTCAGGGCTTCAGATACAAACACTTTCTGAGAGAATCAGCTTGGCCCCTGACATGGGATTGGCTTCTTGGGCAGTAAATGTGACTTCTGGCTGTTGCAGCAGGGCCTGAGGGAAGCAGCACTTGCTACGTACCCCAGGACTCCTTGTGGGTGTGTGGCTCTATTCCTGTGGCTTCAGCCAGCTCAGCGGTCCAGAGGGTAGATGATAGATTCCCTTGAGCCTTGCATTAATTAAGAGGATGAGATCAGGTTTCTCTTATCATGAAAATAGCCTCCTAGACTAAACAAAGACAGAACTGTCTCTTTTGCTGACTACATGCGATTTATTTCAACCAGTCTCATGCATTCTACAATGGTGTTGAAGCCATATTATAAGACCACCGAATAGAGTAAGTTTTCTGCCCCTTTGCCTATGGATAAAAAGGGCATGAGCCATAGTGAATGGGATTTACATCTTGTTAACTTCCCTGTGTGTCCTTGACTATTGGGCTCCATGGAGGATGCACGGCTGTCTTCGTTATGATCCAGCTGGGAACTAAGGTAGTGAACTAGGCATGGAAGGGGAAGGGAAGGGCAGGAGCATGCAGGATGTTCAAAAGAAGAAAGCTTGGGGTCAGGGGACACCCTTCAGTGTGTGTGTGTGTGTGTGTGTGTGTGTGTGTGTGTGTGTGTACAGTTTGCCGCAGCAGCAGCAAAGCCTATCTCAGTGCATAGTAATCTCTTGCCATTGGCAAGTGAATTATCTCCTCCCAGATTTGGGGCATTCCACAGCCCTGTATTACTCAGCATATGCCCAGGGCTTCCTCCATGGAACTTATGCATGGGTTCTGGTTATGGAAAGCAAAATGACGACTATGGTAGTCAAAGAAAGAGGTTGTAAAAATTAACCTCTTATGCAATATAAGCACATAATTTGGCTATCCCCTTATTTAGCATCCTAAAAAGAAATCACTCCCAGAAAGGGGATAGAAGGGTACTCCGAAGGCTCAAGGCTGCAGGATCAGCTACCCCATCCATAACCCTTGGTACCCACGCCAGCTGTCTGTAGACACATTGACTCCTTTTTCCAATCCTTGCAAGTTTGATTGACCCTTACCCCTTTTCTCACCCAAATCCTAGCCATTTACAACACTTAATACTTCCTGAGCTTTCTAGAACAGAAATTAACCACAGCTCCTCAGCCACTGGGCCCTATGGCTCCAGTGGCCATGATGAGCAGTCTTGCTTGAGTAGCTTTAGGATACAAAGCTTAAGGACAAAATTAACACCAGGGAGAAAAACTTTTAAGTACGGCTGGCCTAAAAAATTATACTTAATTTATAACTTTCAGTGGAGGGTATTCTGGATGTCAGCATAGTGATCGTTGCAGAGAACAAATAGCAAAAAATGACTTTCTCATCTAACACTTGATCACCGACAAAGGCAGGGCTCAAAACCAAATTTAACGGTTCCAGAATGCGTTCTCCAGAGCACTGCCACAAATAAGCAGCAGTCTTTTTCACAAAGCTGCTTCCCTTTTGTAAGGACAATGCTGTGCCCATCTGTTGTGGCACACACTGCACAGCACATGAGCTCACGTGGTAAATGCCATCTCTCGCCCCAGGTCATGAAGCTGGCATGGAGTCAGGGAACAGGAAAGGGACAGGGGATGTTTGCCTTCGGGAGGGCTGAGCAGAGGCCGACTGCCTTCTTTCTGCTGTTTTCCTTACTCTCTGCCATCCATTAGCAGTTGCCCCTCCAGTGTCCTTCATGCTTTGTCCTGTCCTTCTCCTCCCCTCCAGTCTCAATCTGGAAACCCATAGTACAAAGTAATTGATGCCTGCAGACTGACACCCACTCGGAGCTGCCAAACTGCCACCAAAACAGCTGCAGAGACCAAGGGGAGCTGGTGGCGGAGCTTGATGGTGGAGCAGTGCCTGGCATACAGCATGAGCAAGGCCCCGGCTCCATCCTCAACACGAAGGAAGGAGAAGGAAAGAAACATCTAGCACCCTGCAAGGGAGAAGGGCAGTGAGGGTGTTCGGAGCCCTGTGCTTTTTCTTATGACATTTATGCCGATGTTTCTGTTTCAGCACAAGAAGATGAATCTCATTCATTTTTAATACAATTTTATTAAAAGACAAAATATAGGATTTCGTAGAGATTTCCTCCGTAATCCATATAAACTGTTTGGCTCAAACAAAGATTCTGAATTTTTAACACCATCCATTACGGATCAAATTCATATGCTGTTTATATTTTTTGTTTGTCAGTGGTGAGGATGGAACCCAGGGCCCCACACAGGCTAAGCACTCCCACCACCAAACTATCCCCCATCTCCAAATTCTGACTCCTTTCTGAAAAGCTTTAAACATCAAGGATAGGAAATTAATAAGAATTTGCTTTGACTGGTTAAAGCTTTGCATAAAGTTCCTGCTATAGGAGGAAGGCAGATTTATGAGGTTAGGAAACAGTGAATCCCATCTGCTTTGGGGCTGTTCTGCATTTGTAACTGGTACAAAACATTCTTGGTGTGCTTGGAGCTTATTTCACATGGGATGCTCCATGCAAAATATCTTATCTATCTAGAAATGTAATAGATTTTTTTCCCTAAGCCATTTCCTCTTCATCATGTCCTTTGAATGAATGCATTCACCAGAGTACTGCCAGGTGTATCTCTGTGACTCGAGTGGTCTTCAGTCTTCTTGTGCTGCTCTTCAGCCAGTGTCTGGCAATGGATCAGAAGGGGACCGAAGTTCTCAGGCACACTAGAGGAAGGAGGAGACCCCCCGACTTCCTGCCCATATCCCTCCAGACCAGTGAACTTGTCCATAATGATTGCTACAGTATTTATTGTCTGAATGTGCAGGTTTAGTGTGTTTGGCATCCAAACAGTAAGAATAACTACTTCTTAGTTCACTTGCGATCATTGGCCAGGGTATGAAGTGTGTGGAAGAAATATCAAAGATGATATAAAACAAAAAAATCCATTTAATAATTTAAAAATAGAAACATTTTACTTAAAATTAAGTTCATATGGCTGGCTTTATAGGGAAAATTTAGTGCTTTCTGAGTGTGAGTACTTACCTGACAAACCGACAGGGTAAACTCCTGTGGTTTGTCTTCATTTGAACTTGGCAGTGAGGCCAGTGAGTTCTTCCTTGATTTGAAATGCTCCTGGGATGAACTGTGTTCAGATTCTAAATTGGAGTTGATTCCTGTTTTACAGACATATTTAGCCATTCATGGTTAGTTTTTGGTCTTAAAATTCAGTGTCATTCAATTTAAAATAAATAAATATTAAACCCTTGGCTTAGCCAGAATGCATTACCTAGTGGATTTATTGCAGCAGAGCTGGTTAGGTAGGTTGGGGCTTTCAATTATTTCTTCTGAGAGCCAGGGATGCTACACGCCTTACGGTGACTGAGGTGACAGTATGCGCTCTGTCTTTTATGTATGGGATACCCTACTGACCCTCCGAGATGTGTTTGCCATTTTCTCCACCCCTACTACTCTTCATTAGTCTTGAAATTTATTGGCCCCATGGCATGAATCTAGAAGAACCACCTTACGTGGTCCAAGTCTATAATTTCTTCAGTGTGGCAGTAACTAGCTGAGCTCGCTTGGTACTGAGATCATAATAATGTTTTACTCTCAAACAGTGGAGAAAAACTTTACCTTTAGAAAATCACTTTGGATGAGCTGGGGTTGTAGCTCAAAGCTTTGTAGCTGAGCCCTTGCTTAGCATGTGTGAGGCCCTGGGTTGCAAAATCTGCAGCACTGGAAAAAAAAAAAAAAGCAAGACATAAAAGGTCACTTTCTGGGCTGAAGATACAGCTAAGTGGTAAGCACTTGTCTAACTCATGTGCAGCCCTGGGCAGCTCCCCAGCAAAGGGGACAGGGGTCACTTCCACAGTAATTATACCAGAGCTGAGCATTCTCTGCAGACCACTTGCCAAGCATGTGCAAGGCCCTGGGTTCCTCCCTAGTACTGCAAAATGATAATGGAATTGCAAGAAGCTGTGGATGAAAGGATGTCCTATTGTGAAAGCAAACCTAGGGAGTGTCTGGGGGAGTGGTTTTTGTAGAGATTATTAGCCAGGCATGCTGGCATACACCTGTGATCCCAGCCACCCAAGAGACTGAGGCAGAGGGATTGCAAGTTGGAGCCCAGCCTGACCACTATCAAGACCCTGTTTCAAAACAAAACAAAAAATCTGAGTCTACACTGCTGCACAGCACACAAGAAACCATTAGAGAATGGTGTGAGCAAGACATAGTCATGTGTATATGAGAACGTATGTGGTACAGGCAGTAAGTGCAGTGATGGGTCAGAGAAGAGACAAGACCATCAGCTGAAAAATCAAGGGCAGTATAATTGAGGAGAAGGACTACAGCTAGAGCTTGAAGATGGTGCAATCTTTAGGAGGCAGAGAGACGATGTTGGGGCATAAAAGGCTGTCAGGAGCATCCTGGACACGGGGAGACCCATAGTCCACATCTGGATTAGTAAGGAGACATGCAGAACTGGGCCGGGGGCTGACCACAAGGTGTAGGCAGAGAGATCGGGGCTCTAAGATGGGGCCGATCAGAGAGGATTTGAGGGCCTGGTGGACATGCATGGACTTGCTGCGTAGGCACCGAAGAGTGTGTGAACTGGGCTGGTTTTTCCGAGAGCTATGGAAGAGAGTCCTCTCCTAACTTCGGGAACCTCAGTCAGTCCTTGCCTTGTAGATGTTATCTCTGTGGGTCTGCAGAGCATCTTCCCTCTGTGTGTGTCTGTCTCTGTGTCCGTATTTCCCTTTTTCTAAGGACACCAGATTGGAGAAGGGCCCCAGGTGACAATCTCCTTTAAACTTGATTACTTCTCTGAACCCCCCGGAATCTTCCCACCTTATGGATTTTCACCTGTACCTCGGGGCAGAAATGATCCTCACTCAGTAGGAATCAGACTCAGACTGACACTTTCTCCTGCTGCTGGGCAGCGTACAGTGAGCCACGGCTCACAGCCGCCTTATCCTGCGGGGTCCCCCCACAACCTACCTCATACTGTGTTGCCAGAATGTTGCGATGCAGGTGTTTAGTACATTATGTGAAATATTCAACACTGTTATAAAACAGGCTTTGGACGACTTTGCCCAACTGTAAGAGAGATTTCCACATGTCTTTTTTGTGGGGGACACTGTGCAACCCATGACAGGTGCCTTTACAGTCTTCAGCAGCAGCAGAAGGAGAAAGCTCTGGCAGAGGTGGGCCAACAACAGAACGCAGACCACACTGGAGGGAGGGAGGGAACTACAGGCTGGAGGGCAGGGTGCAGAAGGAGTAGGTAAGATCCAGAGATGTTGCAGAAGAAGAGTTGAGGCGACATAAGCATTAGCAATGAAGACAGTGGTGCCTTGTTCAGCGTGGTGCTTCCACCTGTGCTGCCTCCTTGCAGGTGGGAACTGACTGTGGGGCCAGGAGTCTGGTGTCTGCAGGGTTTCCGGCCTGTGAGGACAATGGCAAAGTCATCCACATGGCTGCGGAGCCAGGAGGGGGTGGAGTTCAGGGCTGGGATTGAGGTGGTGACAGAGGCAAGTGGAGATGGCCCGTGGGCCCTGGAGACCGAGCCATCTGTCCTCCCCGAAGATACGGATCTGGGATTCAGATGCATTCCAGCAGGACTTTAATCCCGGGGAGAGGGTGGGCTCTCCAAGACGTGGATGTAGAAGCAGAGCCATGGGCTTGATATTCTGCCAAATTCCCAGAGTTAGAGGATCTCTGAGAACCGGTCCAAGGAGCATTTAAAACTGGAGGGGAGAAAAGGTGGAGTTCTATACTCACAAAGCTAAAGAGAAAGATTCTTGTAGAAGTTTCAGTGCCGGGGCCACAGGAGTGTGGAGAGCAGGTGGAAAACTGGAAAGGGCCGTGTGGGGGACATCAATTGTAGCTAAAAGGAGATGCAGAAGAGCAACTTTCCCGGGAGAGGAAGGAAGGAAATAGAATAACCACAAGGTAGCAGGATTAAAACAAGAGCTCGGCGGGGCTTTTATGTATCCGCAAGTCTGATTTCTGGGATGTAATTACATACAATCAAATTCATCCTTTCCAGTGTTCAGTTATATAGAGAATAATATATACATATATATTTAATGTTGGAGTTGTGTGACCATGACACCATGAAGATAAAACCAGCAACATCATCCTGAAATTCCTACACGTTGAGGCCCTTTCAGAGGAAAGCTATGCCTATCTGAAGTCAGAAGGGAAGGGGTCCTTGCTAAAGTAGATGCTTACATTAAAGGTGGGGGCTTGAGTGAGGGAGAGAGGCTGTACTGGGCTCTGTGGAGGAGCAGAATGAATAGGATGTGAGTACTAGGCTGGCACGTGCAGTCGGGCCGGATAGTCCCACAACCACTGTCTGCAAGCTGCATAGTCGGGGAACCAGAAGCTGCTCTGTCCAGCAGCCTGGAAGCCTCAGAACAAGAGGAACTGAGGTGCGGCCCGGGCCCGGACTGAAGGATTGGAAACTCCCCGAAGAGGGGCTGGTGCCTGTCCACACTCAGAGACTGAGGAATCTAGAGCCTGATGTCCCAGGGCAGTGGCAGCAGCAAAAAATGCAACTGTTCAATAATTGAGCCGTGTGAGTGTGAACTTCCTGTCTGGTGCTTTTCATTCCGTCCAGGGCCTCAGCCACTTGGATGCTGCCACCCACATCTAGGGTGAATCTAGGCCCCTCAGTGTGCACACCTACGTGCCAGTCTCCTCTGGACACACCCTCACACCATACACACGTGGAAGTGCACTTCACCAGTGTTCTAGGTGTCTCCCAATCCAGAGAGTGGAAGGCAGGTGGGCCACTCAAAAGAGGTTATTTTGGTGAAAAGAACATTTTACCCCTTCTCATGAAGCAGAAGGACAAATGAAGGCACACATCCAGGGCCTATGGTATATTTTGGGGTGAATTCCTAAAGTCCTGCCAGCAAAACCATTTCCTGTTGGGCAAGATGTTAATGTCATAACCCTTAACTTCCACCTCCTGGCTCTTCACTCCCTATTGCAGTTACTGTCTGCAGGAGTTACTGCAGTAGTGTGCTAGCACAAGTCTGCTTTGCTTTGGGCTCTGTGCCCAAATCCGCCTGCCTTGTAATTCTGTAGCAAGTTTAAAGCCAACAACTTAAAAATTCTCCAAAGTTAAGTGCATCTGCACCTCCCCTGTTCCATACACTGGGAAGACTTGGCAGTGAAAATGGCTTCAACCCCCATAAATACTAGCGACAGCCGTAAATGACTCATTGCTGAAGAGCTGGCTGCCCCAGACATGTCCTCAGGCCATGATTTAGCAGAAGAGTCGGTTCTCCTCGTCAGCTTATACTTAAGATTTAAAACACTCTAAAATGAAGTTTTCTCTGGCATCTGTGATGTCGCCTGCACCTCCTCTCATCTTTGCACACCCACTGAGATGGATTCAGTTCAAGGGTGGGAGGCAGGAGGGCGCTGAACAGCGGTTCTCAAACTGTGGGTTTCATGAGTGGGTTGTGCATCCAGTTCGTGAGTTGCAACAGCCTATTTAAAACATGGAGTAGAAAATACAGGCCAGCGGACTAAATTCAATCTCATCAATCTTTGTTTTAGTGCAGTCTGTATTTCTGGACCAGACCCCATTGTGAAATATGTTTCTGCTATCCATCAGGGTCACCAAAGTTTGGGAAATTTGGGTGCGGAGGTGTGTGGGTTCTTTGTGCCCCTACCTAGGTCACTGGATGTCCTTGTGGCATAGCGTGGTCCATTGACTGTAAAGTGGAGATAATGAAGTTATCTGTCCACTTTGTGTGGCTGTTGAAAAGATCAGAGAGAAGATCCAAGAAAAACATTGTGCCCTGTGCCTGTTTAACGGTCAAAGCTTATTATGAGGCCAGGTGGAGAGGCACATGCCTATAATCCTAGCACCCTGGGAGGCAAGTTCAAAGCCCAGCGTGAGCAATTTAGTGAGACCCTAACTCCAAATGAAAAAAATAAAAATAAAAAAGGGCTGGAGATGTAGCTGAATGTGAAGGCCTTGGGTTCAATCCCCAGTACTGAAGAAGAAAAAACTTACTTTCAGGATTTATTCGCCTCTCTGGATTTCTTCTTCAGCTCAGCAACTGCTGCCATCATGTGGTTCTTCCTACAAGCGTCTCCAGTTCACTGCACCGCAGCCTGTTTCCTGTTGCCAGAACTGAATACCAGAAACAGGGTGACTTACAAAGATCAGAGGCTGGGAGACCGGGGGCCTAAGTTCAAGGGGCTTCATCCAGTGACGCTCTTCTTGCTGGCAGGGCCTCTGTGCAGGCTTCCGAGGTGGCACGGGGCGTCCCGCAGTGAGAGGGGCACAGAAAGGCGACAGCGAGCTGGCTTTTGTGACCGACCCACTCTCAAGATGATCATGACTGGGTCAGTGGCTCTGAGCTCCTGACCCCGTCACCCCCTAAAGGTCCTGCCTGCTGCCGCCTCTTAATACCTCACAGTGGAGATTGAATTTCAGCCAGGATGCTGCTACGACATTCACGTCAAGCCCTGTCCAAGCCTGAACCCAGTCATCTCCACCTTCGGTCATTCTCACCCCTCTGGCTGTCTGCCCCCTCCCCAAGCGCCTGGCCCTTCCTACGCCCTTCGCCCTTATCTGAGCAGTAGCTCCATTCAGCCTCCCTCAGGTTGCCTGCGTGCCATCCTGCTAACTCTGCTAGGGAAAGACTCCAAGCCTGGGTCACCATCGTCACCGATGTGGAGTGCTGCTGTCTCCAAGCCCTGCGCCTCATACTCTGGTAATTCCAAAGCATGTACTTGGTCTTCACCCCAGCACCATGCATACAACTTCAGGGTGCCTCTTCCTCAGTTGCTTGCCCCACCTTTTGTTTTTGTTGTCAGGCTAAGTGGCTTGTCCTTCAGGCACCTGTACAAAGTAATTTTTAAGTCAGAAAGACTTAGCTTTGACCCCTGCCCCGCCCAGTGAATAGTCAATAGCTTTGTGACTCTGAGAAGGGAATTCTGAAACATTTGAAGTTAGTGTTTGCCTCTGGAAAACGGGAGTAGCTATGCCTGCTTCACAGTTACCAGAATGAAATGAACTGTTGTGCATAAAGAGCAACGCATGACCCACACTAACTACGGTACTTAAGTGGCCATGGTCATATTTGATTTATAAGAATGAGTATTGGGCTGGGGATTTAGCTCAGTGGTTCCACCGGCTGCCTCACAAGTGCAAGGTCCCGAGTTCAATCCTCAGTACTAAAAAAAAAAAAGAATGAGTATTTTTGCTTGTTAAAAAGGCTCAGTGTACCTCCTTGTGGACCAGAGTTTCTTGCAGATCTGAATAGTTCAGGATCTCTGCATCTTTGTACTGGCTGTCTCTTCTGGCCACATAACCTTCCCAGTCTCCTGCCTTTCACCAAAACCTACCCATCCCTCAAGACAAAACCCAAGTGACACTTTCTCTGGGACTGGCCCAGGGGCCCTGGGCATGCCTCTGTCTGAGCTCTTGGCCTTCTGAGCTGAGCTGCTTCTTGCCCAGATGCTGAGCCTCCTGATGTCCCCACATGCACTCAAGAGCTCCCTCGGTACCTGCAGGTGCCCGACGCATAGAATGCGATCAGTTCGTGTTTCCCTGAAGTAATCTTCAAGTAATGGTGGAGACCATTTTCTGTGGCTGTAACTGAATACCAAAACCTGTATAATTTATAGAGAGAAGGAATTTATTTGTTACAGTTCCAGAGGCTGGGGAGCTGACGGCTAGGGGCTGCAGGACTGTGTGTGTTTTCTTGCTGCAGAGTGCAGGCTCGGTGCAGAGCATTTCATGGCCAGCTGAGACCAAGCCAGGGGCGTCTCGCTCTACAGCAAAGCCACCCCTCAAATAACCGTGTAATCCTCTAATCTGCTGACCCACAGCCCACTAATCACCTCTTCCAGGTCCCACCTGGTCCCGCCTGCTAGTATCTCACGGGGAGTGCTCAGTCTCAACGCCAGCTTTGGTGGAGACATTCAGACTGCACCAAGGAATGGGTGAATGAGCTAAGTGTTGTATTTTTTTCGTTGGTGTCCCTGCCCTCTCTGCCTCAAGAAATTCACCCTGTTATTTGCAACTGGGTTAGTTTAAAGTGGAGCTCTCTTGCTTTCCCATGCTTCTCGGGCTGCTCTGCTCGGTGAACCTGCCCGACCCTGGCAGCTGGGGACATGTGCAGCATGGCTCCTATCAGTCTTCCAGTTTTGTCTTCTACTTGTCCCCATCTTGTACCTCACATCGCACAAAGCCGGCTGCTTCCTCTCTGACAGCGCCTCGTACTTCGTCCCCTCGTGTCTGCCTGTGGGGCTCTTTCTGTTGGGGAACAGCGAATGCCTGAGCTGTCTGCTTCACTTGTCACACAGACCCTTGGAAGGCCTCTCAACCGCTCCTGCTTACCGTCCAGAAGCCGTTCGAATGCATTGTTTAACGCACGGAAGTAGTTGTCCTCAGTCCTCCTTTGTACCCTGTAGCAGCCTTTGGTGGATTTTCTCATACCGAAGAATGTCTTTTATCTAGCAGCATCTTTACATGTTTGTTTTTGATGGCAAATGCTTCAAGTCTGAGCACCGTGTCTTAAATGTAAATTTAGAGCATTTAGGAGAGGCTTGTCTGGGCTGTACTGAGTGAGAGGGAATTGTCTTCGGCCACATATAAAATATATAATATAGCTTATATATATGTACATAGTTTACCAATTTTTTTTTTTATGGTGGTAGAGATCAAACCCAGGGCCTCATGCATGCCGGATGAGCCACTCCCAGCATTATATCAGGCATTCAATAAGCAGTTTTGATTAGTTGATGATTTGGTTTCTTTTAGAACTAATAAAACCTTCAGGTCTGATGCTTATGGTTACTCAGGAGCATGCATGCCAATAAAACAAAGTATATGGAGAGTGAAAATGCTAACACATAAGCACGTCGTGGGTGGTGGTTGAATACACACAACCCTATTTTCTCCATTGTCAAGCAGGGTGTCCTGGGGTCAGGGCAATCTATGAGTGAGCTTGAAAATATCAAAACCTAGATTTATCTCTTCTTCAGAGAACAGAAGACCCACTTCCCGGCCGTGCAGTGGCTTCTCTTTTGAGTGTGTGGTGGGTGACCAGTCATCATGGAGCACGGCAGTGTGGTGACTGCAGGAGCCAGTGCTGGGTCCAGGTGGACGAGACCTCTGTGTCTTCCGTTCACGTGAAACTGGACTCTTTCTTCCAAGAAAAGGGGCCCAGGTAGTTGGGCCTTTTACTTGTTCTTCTCACCCTCTCTCATCTAACTTGAGTCCAGATAAGCCTGAAGGTGGTAGTGGCGGTAGCTTTTATCCAAATAATACTCAGAAGCAAGTAGACAAACCGACAGGTTAACTTGTATTTTAGGGGAAGGGGAAGGTTTGTCAGTTCTCGGCTGCCATACATATTCTGATGAGTACCAACCTCCGAAGTGACTAGGACATGACGCATGGCGCACATAGCACGTTAAACAACGTGTACCCACGGAGCGTTTATGAGGGCAAAGGTAATGACTTGGCTGCAGTAGAAATCACGTGTGCATGCTCTGCACACATTTTGAGACAGAATCTCAGTGTGGTCAGTGACGCCGGCTGGCTTGGATGCTCTACTTGTGGCAGGGAGGCCCAAGAAGTGAGGTCCTGGGGGCAAGAGTAAGAGACAGAAACCCATGGGCTCTCGGTCATGGGCTGTATTGGGTCCCCCCGAGTTACTCTCTTGAAGTCCTCACCCCCAGAGTGATGGTATTGGAGATGGAGACTTTGGTAGGTAATCCGGCTTAAATGAGATCCAGAGGGTGCGGCCTTTTGCTGGTGGGCATAGAGATTAGAGCTCATTCTCTCCTGTTAGAGAATAACTCTGGCTTTGATAGAATTGTTTTGAAGACTTTATCGTAAATGATAGCTGATAGCAATACCTTTAGCTTTCTTGCTTGGCTTTCTGTTTTCGCTTCCTGTTCCCTTCTAACTGAGAGAAATCCTTATCCCCTCATTTGTAACCATCAAAGAGTGCTGTGGCCAAAGTGCTGCTTTGAGTCTGCTTTGGTGTAAAGCGCCTTGTGCCTGCAAGCACAAGAGACATTGTCACATGAAGATGGAAAGAAAGAAGCAGAGAATGAATGTCCTAAGTGACTGGACTGTACCATGTTTTCTCCTCATCCCCATCTCTTCTCTCTTGGTTCTACCTCTTTTTTCTTCAACAAATGAAATGAATTTTATTAGGTACTATCTTCCTTTGTCCATCTCTATCTTAATTAGAACCAGTTTCTGGGCAATATAAAGTGACAATGTTTGACAGCATTGTAATTTTCTGCAGTAATAAATAGGGTTTCTAAATAAAAGCTGAGTATCATACCCATAATTCTTTGGCTTACATATAAAAGATCATTGCTGCCAAACTGTGCATAAGGATTGAAAATATTTTCCTTTAATAATACTGAAAATACTTAAGGCTGGGCAATAAGAAGATACGTCTTATTTGGAAGTATTTTTTCAGATATTGTTTTTAGACTCCCAGTTTGAAGGATGAAGCTTTACATCGTAGTTTGAACTACTCTTTAAAAGAATGTCAGATAATATTCAGCAGTTAGACTTTGGGTAGGGTGTGGTACTGGGGATTGAACTCAGGGCCTTTGCACTGAGCTACATTTCCAGCCCCTTTTCCTCTTGTTTTTTTTCTTTCTTTTTTTTTTTTGAGACAGAGTCTCACTGAATTGTGCAGGCTGGTCTTGAACTTTTGAATCTCCTGTGCCAGAGTGCTGGGACTGCAGGCATGCCCCACCAAACCCAACTAGATACTGTTTACTTTTCCATGTGGGACTCAAACCCAGGATGTCACACATGCTAGGCAAGTGCTCACTCCCTGAGCTGCACCCTCTACCCTTACACTACCTATGGTAATTAGGCCTTAGGGCAGGGATTCAGTCTAGGAGTAAATAGCATCTTTTCTTACATTGCTTCTTTCTTCATTTGGAAGTTCCTATCTAGTTATCTAAGACTACACATATTGTAAGAGGTCACTAACTCAAAATAGTGTGGAAAAGCAAGAGCGAATCATAGGGTGTGGGGGTGTAGCCCAGAGTGCTTGCCTAACCCGTGTAAGACCCCGGATTCCATCCCCAGCACTAAAAAAAAATGAATTACAGAATTTTCAAAAGCTGTCTATTTTTATTATTCACAGTACTTGTATGTACAAAATAACCATGTAAATGTATTATAAAAGCACACCTTAATGCTTGGATGAGAATACTTTCCCCGTAGAGTGTACGTCAGTCTTAAGTAGCGCATGCTGTCCTGATGAACTTCTTACCTCATTTCCCTGACAGATCCGCTGCAGAGACAGCTCACAGGGAGCCCTAGCAGCATCGGTGACATGGCCTGTGAGGGGACTCATGGCCCAGCCTGCATGTGCGCTGTGTCATCGCTGGGGATTGGCCCTGCCCTGGTGGGGTTCACAGGTTGGTGAGGGCGACTGCTCTGACCAAGCAGATAGGCCGTCCCAAACTGTGGCTATGGTCACAAAGGATTCCAGGGGGCCCGCTGAGAAATAGCAAAGAAGGACATACACTTGGAGGATGGGGTTGGGAAGCCTCAGGGAGAAAGCAGCACAGGGGTGAGAGCCAGGGCAGCAGGCCCCCTGCCAGGTGGCAGCTTCACACCAGAACTGCTTCCCACCTCATTAAGATCCATTCATTTAGCCACAAGCTGAAGAAGGGGAGCCTCCTTTGCAGGATTTAAGAACTTGAATCTACACCAGGGTCCTGGGTCAGCTGATTCTTGAGAGGCCGGAAACCTTGGAGAGACAGTGCGAGGGGAAGTCAAAGCTGAGGCCACAGGAAGCCAAGCGGCAGGTTGCAGGGTGCTGCCAGGAGAGCTCTGGCCCTCAAAGAGAAAACCAGAAATAAACACTCTTCTTATAATAAAATAAGCTTTATGGCAGATTGGAACGGAAGACTAGGTCATCCCATTCCTGGGCACAGACAAACATTTGTTAATAGCGTTTTAAAAATAGAATGGAGGGCCAGGGACTTGGCTTAGGGAGAGAGCGCATGCTTAGCATGGGCCAGGCCTTGGGTTCCATCCCCAGTAGCAAAACAAAAACACAAAAAAGAAAATTCTACCAAGGTCCGCCAGGGAACAGGAAAAGGGAGGGCCAGATGCCCAAGAGGGCCGCATCTGCTGCCAACAGCATGGCACCTTTGGGTAGATCTGTGTATTTTTAGCACAACACTTTGGTCACAGATTTGACTGGATTTGTTCGAAGTCTCTACAGCTGCTAATGACTTAGTCTCCACTCTTCCTCACTTTTGTTAGTGTTGAATTTTCATTGTCAGAGCCATCCTGAGGGCATGCAGCTTCTTTTTTTTTTTTTTTTTTTTGGTACCGGGGATCCAACTCAGGTCCTTGCACTTGTGAGTCAGGAGGCAGGCGCTGGAACCACTGAGCTAAATCCCCAGCCCATGCAGCTTCTTAACTACAGTTGGCATTCAGCCTTTGTCTACTACATCTTGTATCTGTTTCTTTTTTTTTTTTTTTTCCTATTCCCAGGAGTCTGCCTTCTCTTGAATCTCCCTCTACAGGATGTTGTGGTTCATTTTCTCCCTGCCCTTTGCCATGAGGTGGCTGGATTTTTAACCTTTGACAGCTATAATCCTTTGTGCTGAGTTCCTGTTTCACTGCTATCTTGGGAGCTCCTGCTGTTTGATGGTGGTGTCTGTGCATTCATAAACTCTAAACCATTCATTCCCGGAGCAGACTAGCTGTGGCCTGAGAGAGAGCCCTTTGCTGTCCTCCATGGAGTGTTCTATTTTCACTTTGCAAGACCTTGGCTTGTTGTATTTCTGGTTGTTTCTGCTGTGGAATATTCTCAATAGAACTAACTGTAACGAAACCCAGGCAGGCTGTAGAGGCCTCTGATGCCCAGGTCTGCCTAGAAAAGGTACAGAGGAGCAGATGGAGAGCTGTGCACTCAGAGGCAGGCAGATGGCGTGGCCACTGAGTTGCGTGTTGTGGAAGGAGTCAGATCGTCTCCCCAGACTCGTCCATCTTCGTCTGTACAGCAGAGATCAGACTGGCTGTGTCCGAAGAGCTCCAGGTGCCTGACGGGAGTGTGTGGTGGAGGATGAGTGTGGGTGAGAGGTATGGAAAGCAGCTCTCTGTTTTCTGCGCTGGGGGTTAAACCCAGAGACTTTTGCATGCTAAACATGGGGGCTTCCATTGAGCCATACCCCCATCCCCTAGTAGTTCTCTAGAGAAAATATTTTGTGGCTTTAAAACCACAGGACTGTGCCTTCTTCTAAGGTCTTTTCCAATATCATATACCTCTGATTCTATGAACTAAGTCTCCTAGCTGCCTGCTGCCAGTTATTGGTGGAGAGCCCCCATAGGGCAAGGGGGAAAGATTAGGAGCCCCTCCCAGAGCTGGGGTAAAGCCCTTGAGCTTCCAGTCAGTGTTACTAAAGTGAACTAAAGCCCCCCATGGGACTGGAAAGTGATGATCTGCTAGTCAGCTTTCAGATATTGTAACCAGTACCTGAGATGAATCAACTTAGAAAGAAGAAAGGTTCAGAGTTTTAGAGATCTCATCCATGGACAGGTGGACACATTGCTTTTAGGTCTGGTGGGGAGGGGCAGTACGTTGTGGCAGGAGCAGTTGACAGAGCAGAGCTGTTCACCTCATGGCCAGGACATGAAAGATAGGAAGCAGAAAAGGCTGGAATTCCAATATCCATTTCAAGGACATGCTCCCGATGGCCTAACTACCTCCCAATACGTCCTCCTTCTTAAAGGCTCCATTCTGTCCCAACAGCGCCACTTTACCACATGGGCTTTTGGAGGACACTCATCCAAACCATGGCAGATCCAGTTGTTTAGTCCACACATAGGGAGTGGCTCTTCTCTCTAGGGTACCGAGAATCCACTGTGTGGTAGGGCAAAGATGAAAGAGAGTGCCAGGTTCTGTGACCTCCAACTTGTGTTTCTCAATAGATAGAGGCTCACTGGGTGCAGCCAGTACATCCTGGCCAGGTTCTTTTCCAGATCCCACACTTTGACTTTTTCTTCTCCAGAGAAGCCTGAGGTAATAGCCTTGCCTTAGCTCCTCATCAGATAGCAGTTAAAATACAAGGTGTCAGCTAGTCACCCACAACTCAAACTGTTATCGATGGAGAGGTCTGTGCCTGGGCTGAGTTCTTCCCAGAGGAGAGTCCCCACTCAGCTAGAGGGTGCTATTGTGACATCAGACACAGGTGGCTACGGGTGGCTCCTCAGTACTTCAGTTGGGTGAGATCAGCAAGTCCTTGATCTAATAATAATGGCTGGATATGGATAGCATCTTCAAAGTTATAGAAGAACAGGTTTGATTCTTGGATTGGCTTTACTAGAAAGCTTTGCATTTCCTCTGAGTCCTGGGAAACAAATTTAATGATTAACTGTGGTGTCTCAGAAATAGGTAGAAATAATAAAAAAATAATAATATAAAAATATTATTAGAGAAAGAATTTCTGGCCTGCAAGAAATTTGATATGAATTTGAGACTAAAAGTCTTCTTAGATTTCAACAGTAAATAAAGTACAGTGTCCTATTTCCATCCATAGATTCTGAAGAGGGAAAGGGAGAAGGAAAATAAAGAAGGGAATGAGGAACTGCATGACATTGCTTTGGATGCCTGGTTGTTTTATAACTAAAACATTTGTGATCTGATTTCACATGGGTTGGTCTTGGCCTTTTTCTGGGAGGGCCCCTTGCCCTCCCTCAGGGTCCTCAGCTTTCTTGATTCACCATACATTCTGTCTTCTCCCGTCCTCTATAAAATTAGGGAACTTGTGACCCTCTGATGTAAAATGTTTCTCACAGCACTGAGAAGTATGGGCACAGCAAATTCTCGCACCTGTGCGGAGCAGATTGCCTCTATCTTCAAACCACAGAGTGAACATTGTGCCTCTAAGGAACCGATTATCTTTTCCATTTCTTATCTTGGGTACAAGTAAGAGGGGAGGTATTGCTCACTTATCTTGGCTTGTGTACAAGTAAAGCAAAGGTATTCTTTTATGAGGTTCTTGCTGTCCTGGGGTTGGTTTATAACCTTGTTAGTCTGGCTTGTGTCTTAATATCCACACAGGGTGTTGTGGGTCAACCAACTGGATTTTTCTTAAGCAAAATCCAGGAAAGGAGCTGGCCATTGTATTAGGCTGAAGCAGGGGTGAGTGAACCCCCACAGGCCACAGCCAGCCCGTGTCTGTTTTTGTACAGCCCATGAGCTAAGAATGGTTTTCATATTTTTAGATGATTTGCAGAGAATCAAAAGAAAAATAACACATAACATGTGAAAATTATATGAAACTCACATTTCAGTGTTGATGAATACTGTCTTGGAACACAACTACAGTCCCTTGCTCATCTACTGCCTACAGCTGCTTTTGCATTACAGAACTGTATAGCAGCAACAGAAACTATATGGAAGCACAAGTCTCAGGTGTTAACTGTCTACCCTTTACTGAAAACGCAAGCTGATCCATAGGCTTGAACAATTAAATGGCAGTAGCAGTTGACATTTTTTGAGCCTAACTATGTACCAGACGCAGTACTGACCATCTTTCAGGGATTATCTTGTTTAATCTTCACAGTGAACTATACAATATAGCTCTTTTATCAT